CCGCCCGCCCTGAGGGGACGCCGGAGCCGGCCCGCCGGCTCCCCTCACGCCAGCGGCCCTCCCTCCGGGCCGCCGCCATCCTGCCGCCTCCCAGGCGTTTCTGGTCAGGTCCCGGCGTGGCCTGAGGCGTCCCCGCGCCGGCCGGGTGCGAATTACGCGCAGGGCGCCTAGGTTCAGGTGAGCGCCGGAGGGGTAGGCGGAAGGGTGTCGGGAAACGAGCTCCTCCGCACCTAGCAGGCATCGAGCGATGGGCGTACCTCGGTGCCCCGCCGCTACTGCCGCTGCATTGCGACCGGTGACAAAGCCACAGGAAGCAAGGCTGAGGCAGGGAAGAAAGACCTGCTTGTGAGAAGGTCCGATCGCAAACAGGCGGCGGGTTCCGTTTGCAGCTTAACACCGTGAAGCTTGAAAAGACTGCTGGTTTCTTACCGTGACATTAAACCGGACAGTTTTGCTACCACAGCCTCGTGCAATTTGGGAGTGCACGAAGCTCCGTCTCAAGAAGTCTTCTGATGACGCATTGGGAGAAGAAGATGGTTTGCTGCAGATTTTGCCTTCTGCTGCCAACATCTCTGCCTTGATGTGAAAAGACAAAGGGTTCTGCCTAGCGGTCTGTGTCCTCTATAACACAATTTTTTTGTTCTTTATGTTCACTTCACCTTCCTGTTGCTAGTTTTGAAAATATCTACACACCAGAAAGTTTCTACGTTGCTAGTCTCCTCCTCTGCCTCTGAAACGCCTGTTTCTTACATTAGGCAAAGTAATGTGGCTGGAGTAGGTTGGGACAAGGAAGGAGGCTCTGCCTCTGGATCTCGTTTATATAGATGTGTGCTGTCCGCACCTCTATTTGTCTGATTGGGTCCTAGATCTCAGCTTCCTATTAAGTGAGAATCTCCCCTGAGCTGTCTGAAACAACGCCCAGGTACCTTCATTAAGCCATGAGAGACAAGAAAAGAGTAGTTCAGATTTTCATCCCTGACTCTGATTTATTTGTGTTTTGGTGAAAGGTTTAATAAATCATCCTGTTGTCCTGTGGAACAACACTGAAGTCCTTCTAAAATTTCTTAGCATCTTCTAGTTTCTACTAATCTTACTTTACATCTCCTTTCCCTATTGTTAATATGACCGTATTTATGACCAGTTCCAAGAGAAACAGTAAAAATAACTTAGGGGACTAAAGAAAGCATGCTATGTCTTTTTATGGTTGGAGAAAGAGTGAGCAGTTAGATACAAAAGCTTTGAAATATTTCTAATTGCTCCTACAAACATGATTTAGAAAACACACCTAAGATACTATAGAGCTTTATGGAGACCCAAATATACAAGAGGGTGGGGAAGAGGGAAGCAGCTTGAAATCTCTTCCCTGGAGAAGATGGTGATTAGGAACAGCCAGTATGGATTTGCCAAGGGTCAGTGATGCCTGACCCACCTTATTGCCTTCCATGACAAAATGGGTAGATCTGTGTAGGGGGGGAGACCAGTGGTACCTTGACTTCAGCAAGGTTTATGACATGGTTTCCCACAATATTCTTGTATTCTTGTATTGTTTAGCAGCCTGCTGGGTTAAAACACGACACCAAGCTGGAATATTATGGTCCAGCATGGGTGGATGAGTAGATGGGTAAAAAACTGGTTGGATGGTTGGGCTCAGTGGGTAGGGGTTAATGCATCATACTTGAACTCTGCTTGGAGGATCATAATGCGAGGAGAACTGCAGGTGTTTCTCCTGGGACCTGTTGCATTTAGCATCTTTATCAACAGCGTGGCAAAGGTGATGGAGAGCAGTTTTCTCAGGTTTGCACATGACACCAAGCTGGGGGGAATAGTCATTACATGACCATCCAGAGGGACCTGGACAGGCAGGAGAAATGAACAGACAGGCAAGTGGGGCAGCGCTGTGGAAAAGGTCCTGGGTATCTGGTTGACAATGAGCTAGTATGAGCTAGCTGTGCACCCTGGCAACAGTCAGGCTCAACGCCATCCTAGCTGTTCAGGAGCACAACTAGTAGGCTGAAAGAAGGGATTATCCCTGTTTCCTCAGCACTTGTTAGAGTATTGCATCCAGTTTTGGCCCCAAATACAGGAATCACATTGACAAACTAGAACTATTTCAGTGGAGGGCCACCAGGATGGGGGCTGGACCACTTATCCTGTGAGGAGAGTTTGAGGGAGCAGGACTTAGCCTGAAGAAGAGACAGCTTCAGGGAGACCTCATAGCAGCCCCCTAGTACCAACACAGAGGTTTTCAAGGAGATGGAGCAAGGCCCTTCACAGCAGTGCATGCTGGGAGGACAAGAAAAAAAGGGCAGAACTTCAAACAAGGTGTTCAGGCTGGATATAAGGAGAAATCTTCCCCCTAAAGGCAGCCAAGCAGAGAAGCATATTACATAGAGAGCTTATGCCATCTCCATCCTTGGAAGTTTTCAAGACATGACTGGATAAGCCATGGCCAACCTGGTCTGACCTCATGGGTAAGCGGGCTTTCAGCAGGTTCTTCCAACCTGAATTATCCCATGATCCTATGATTCAAAATGTTACACTCAGCCATTTCAAATGTGAATGGACTTCAACACACACACAAATACTATCTCTTTTAGAGATCTGGCTATGTTGTCCGTTCGCATGAGCTGACATAGTTCCTTGAGTTTTATCTCTGTGTCCACCAGGTGAGAGTGCAGACATTCACAGAGGACACCTGAATTCAGAGAGACTACGGGAACATTTAAATTCCTGTTGAAGATGGAGAAAGGGAAACTGAGACAAACAAAAGCAGTCTGCCATGCTGTCTGCTTGCCTCAACTACTATGTAGTCTGTTTCAGTGCTTTCAAACAAGCTGAGTTTGACTATATCAAAACAAAAGTTGTAATTAGATTAGAAGTGCTAGTGGTTTTTTAGGTGAAGTTCAGTGCTGTTCGCCAGATTTGTTCTTTGGGACATTCCTCCTTGTTCAGGAGAGGAAGTCCCTTCTGTGTGTGATTAGCCCATACTGTTGTATTCTCACCTAGCTATAGAGACCTCGCCTCTTGCTTTTCTTCAAGAACTTGTTGCAGGATATGGCTCATAACTCCCCCGAAACAAAGACTGAGAGAAGCAGTGGTGAGAGACAAAACTTGGTAAAGATAAGGGGGGGGGGAGGGGGGGGGCAGAGGGGCTCCGAGCCTCTCTGAGGAATGTCTCAAACACTCAGAAGTACCCTGAACTGAATAATGCAGGCCTTGTGCTCAATGGACTGATAAGGATAGCCATGTGGGAGGAATAGCAAAGGATGCAGCTGGGGGAGGAAGCCCTGTGGAGACAGGATGGTTCTGCTCTGGTGCAACTTGTGAAGCTTGTTAACTCTCTGTTTTCAGGGCCATCCCGTCCGATGAATGACCTTTGCCTCATTATTCACAAAATGCATATTAAAGTTGACATACTTGCATATGCTAATGAAGATTACAGAGATCATGCTAAACATATGTGTGACTACAGCACTCATCTCTCAAGCCAAATCTCTCAATCCAAATCATGCTACACGTCACCTGGGGGCTGGGGAGGGAGGAGTGGGAGAACCTGAAATGAAGCTGCCACGGCAGCAGGAGGGCGGGTCATACTGATACAGTGAACATAAAGGGGGAAGATAGGTGCCACTGAAAAGAGAAGGAAAAGGAAAGTGTGTGGAATTCCACAGAAAAGCACTCTTATGAACCAGAATCCCCCCTGTTAGCTGGACCAATGCTGGAAACAGGACCAGTCATCTCTTTATCTCTCTCTTTCATGCTTTCTCTCTCTCTCCCTGCTCCCCCCCTCCCACCCTGCCCCCTTAGATTTGTTAAGTAATGCAAGGTGTACCTTACCGCTTGCCATTATTTGTTATATACCTAATCAATTATTGGAAAACCTAGTTTAGGACATATATTAATCACTGTGAGAATCTAATAAATGTTTGTATACAGACCTGAGAGTTGTCTCAACTTAGTCCACACTGCTGGGGATTTGCGAATCTGAGACACTCACCCTCCTCTTCTGAGTGGGTCATGACATTTAAATCGGTGTCATGGACAGGAATGCCTTGGTGTTGGAAGGTCCTAAGGGATACTGATTCTCCATCTGATGAACACGGACAGGGAGAACTGGGAAGTCACCTCTCAGCTATAAGCTGGGAGAGGTTCGAGCGGTAGCAAGCCGTGACTGCCTGGGAAATATCAGTGTTTGACTGCTCCCCGATTCTTGAGAAATTGAAGGAGTACAAGGCGTGACCTACTCCACCAGGAATGGTATGGGCCCACGATAATTGGCATAATTCAGAGGCAGTGGCAAGTTGTATCACTAACCTTGCGAAGGAGCAAAGGTTGTGGTCAGGTAAAGGAAAAGCTATAGTGTGGGCTGCATTAGGGGCAGCACTGACCACAGCCCAAAAGGATAGACACTTGATCAGGCAGGCAGAAGGGGAGACAATCAGATCCTTGCAAGACCAGGTAAAAGTTCTCCAGGATCAATTGGTTGAGGAACGTGATGTTAATAAAACGGTCAAGTCCTTGCAAAAGCAAATTGAAATTTTGCAAAGCCAATTAGCTGCTGAGCCTAACACCACTCAGTGACTCCACACAGCTCTGTTGGATGCCCTGGTCAGAGAAAAAAATCTTACAGTCCAAACTAGAGGAGAACAAACAAGAAACCTGTGACCAAACAGAACTTAACTCCATCTGGGATAGTGAACTGGGATTTACAAGTCTGGCAAAATTATCCAAGAGATCCTTGTATCCAACAAAGGAGTTAGAGATGAGCTGAGATATATTTTACCCCCAAAATGAGGAGGCAACGTTGAGACCTCTAATTAAGACCAAGATGGTAACGGTCAGGCGGGAAGGGTCCCGCAAGTTACTGTCCAAACAGTAACATATTCAGCGACCGAACTATCAAAAATCCAGGAAAAATATACTAGATTAGCTCAAGAAACCAAGACTGAATATGTATGGAGGGTATCATTGACTGACAGAGACTGGGTTTTATTGTCAGAAGATGAGGCACAGGAGTACTGGGGGCCTGGGGTATTTTTGATCACTGACAACCGGAGAGAATTGTGGTCCATAACCCAATGAGTTGCATATTGGGAAGGGAGATTAGATCCCATGGAACGAGGGGACCCAATGGGTATCAAGACCCCAACTATAAAACACTTAACTGAAAGTCTGCAAAAGACTGCTTGTCTCCAGTTGATGCATGACAGGCGTTTAGTATCTTAGCAACCCTCCCCGATGCTATTAAGTGCCAACCCCAACAGGATGACTCCCATGATCCAGGGCTTGCCTGACTGTTTAAAACTATATGCGGTCCAACTCCAGGACCATTTGTGGGATGCATTAGCCCTGAGGGGAGGAAGACGGAACCAACAGCGGGGAGCTATGACCTGAGGGGAAGTGGCACAAGAGTTGATTAATTATGGCCAAAGGATGGGCCTCACAGTGGGAATGGGTAAATCTAAAGTCGCTGGGCATAGAATAGAACAATGGGAGGATTACCCTCCCCTCATGAAATCTAGGGGCAAAAAGAAATCTGTTGTGGGCTGAAGGAATTGAGAAGGGGGTTC